TTCGAGGAGGGGGACATTGCCTTTCGGTGACCAGGGGGGTGTATCTTTTTTCTTCCCCAGTTGTTGCCCAAGCGCACGGACTGGACGGGAAAGGAGCATCCCAGGAGCTACGAGAGCCTAGTAAGGGAAGCGGCCGGTCGGCATGGTGCGATGTGATGTACTAGGGAAAGTTTGCAAGCAGCCCTTTAAAAATTGAATTTCCCGCAATTTTTTTAACAACTAAAAAAAAACCAGGGGGGTGTATCTTTTTTCTTCCCCAGTTGTTGCCCAAGCGCACGGACTGGACGGGAAAGGAGCATCCCAGGAGCTACGAGAGCCTAGTAAGGGAAGCGGCCGGTCGGCATGGTGCGATGTGATGTACTAGGGAAAGTTTGCAAGCAGCCCTTTAAAAATTGAATTTCCCGCAATTTTTTTAACAACTAAAAAAAAAATAAGGGCCTATTTTAAAGACAGGATTTCGGCACGCGGACGATGCGAGGTAGATGAGGTTAGGGGAGCAGGTGTTGTTTCCGAAGAGGTCGGTCTGGGGTCCTTGAGTTAAGGTAAATAATAATAATCCTACTAATGCGAGAGCCCTGGAGTCACTATGCTAGAAATAAAGGTACGTCATGGATGTTGTGCAGAGAGAGCAGGAGGCAGGGAGGGGAGGAGCGAGTAGAGAGACAAGCTTGCTAGAGCCAGCCAGGCCTGTGAAGAGATGGGGGCGCTCTTCTCCGTGGAGCCCTCCTTTCCATACACAATGGGGCCGAGCAGAGATTGAGCAACGGGCAAATGGCTTTCTGCAGGAAAGCGCCACAACTTCTTGAAGCCCGATCTTTTTGCTCAGGACATGCAGAGGTAGAAAGTAAAGGTCAGTGACAGTGGCCCTCGGGAAGGCCTGTAAACTATCCTGCTCTTGGTCTTGAATTTTCCTAGTCTGTGATCTCTGAGCAGAAGGTTAGTTTTAAAGTCGTGTCTGCTTGGCAGTAACAACTCTGTAGACTATTGTGATGTTTTGTGGCAAAGTTTATGTGATTTATATATATCACTTTAACAATAGATTCCCCCCCCCCCGTCTTCTGTAGATGCTTCTGTCTGCTGGTTGGTGGTCTTTGTGTTTTACTGTTAATGTGATTTGTATAACATCTGCATGGGGTTATTTTGTGAGGGTTCCCCCCCCTTTTTATATTAAGTGGTATGGATAACAATATAGTTTACTCAGCATAGTTTACAGAGTTCGGGGGGGGGAAGTTGGAGTAGAGAGGATTTTAGATAGGAAAATGGCATGGGTACAAGAGTTCAACATGTTGTAGTTCAGCAGTGCATACTGCTCCTGTAGTTATGAAATGAGGAGAATCTCATAGAAAGTCTGATTCTGAATTTCTCTACAGCTTGTTAGATGTCTGATAGCAAAGCTGTAGCTTTTTTATTGTAGTTACCATATTTTTGCAGTATACGAGAATATGATTGTCCATCCTTTTTGCTGTACACTCTGTGCTTGTATCTGGAATTTTTATTTTGCTATGGGAATGGCTCAGGGTGGAGTTCTTTCAAAATGCTCCTGTTTGTTGGAGAAGGAGCTGTTTTTGCTAGCACCACTTCTCTGTTGCCTCTGGTACCACCTCTTTTACCATTGTGTTGGGTATCTCCAAATCTATGGAGGAGAATTTCAGGGGACACAAAAGACTACAGAGGTAGGTAAGGTAAACTAAATTGCTTTCTTCTCTGTTCAGGCTGCAAAAAGTTAAGTTGGATTAAAAGCTTCTTTTCAGAGGAGGCTGGAAACCTTGCTGAATCAAGGTTTATGTGTTCATTTGAGTTACTTATCTGGTTTTGCTTCTTGACTGGTAGAAAGTAAGCCCAGAACAGTGACTTGTTCAGTGGTACCCTGCACCTCCATCTCTGAGAAAAGATAGTTCAGGGTTTCTGAGTAGGAGTGGTGTTTAATCATACTTTCCTATACATACAGCAGCATTTCTTGTGCCCCACAAACATTTGTTGAAAAAACTTACAGCCAGCGCAGTAAATCATGCAGATGCATATTCAGTATCATCCTTTCTGAGTGGATATTAGAGATGAGCTATTCAGCATGGAGGCAGAACAGGGAAGTCTTGGTTGGCTGCGTGGGGAGGCTGGGAAATGCTGGACAGGCCCCCTCTGCAATTAGCGCGACAGTGATGATGGAGCTGAGCGCCACATGGCAAATGGTGAGTGGACCAACTGGTTCTGGGGAGGGGGATGAATGGAACTCCGTGGCACCTGTGGTGCTGTGATTCATATCCCCAGGGATATTTATTTAAAATATTTATTTAAAATATTCCTTTCGCCTTTAAAAGAGCCCAAGCTCCTAGAATACAAATACAGTAGCCCATCTCTAGTGGATATTTATGCTGACAGAAAACTTTAATGTAGTTTTTTCACATAGTAGTCATTGTTTGAGAGCCAGTGTGTTGTAGTAGGTAGGATGTTGGACTAGAACTCAGGAGACTTGTGTTCAAATTTCCATGTGACCGTGGAGACTCACTGGAGTGGGTGGTGGAAATGGTAAACCACTCCTTGAATATCTCACATACTTTGAAGCCCCTTTTAAGATCACCATAAATTAAAAATGGCTAGATGGTACATAATAGCATAACAGTCACTGATTCAGGTTGGACTCTGAGTATACTGTTCATGCATATTAGTTATGTGGAAGAGTTTAATGAAAGATAAAGGGTGCTTCTTTCCTGCACTGCATTTTAAGCAAATTTTCAGATCAGTTTGTATGCTAAACTCCAGTTTTGATGTTCCTTTCGTAAGCTTTCAAAGCAGCATGTGTATGATATCTCAGGAGAGGCAGTTCTTGAGTGCTTATTTTAAGTGTAGGCGTGACCTATGAATGAAGTGCAAAGCTATAAGAAAGACAGGGTAATCTCTGGAAGGTAACTTACAAGTTAGTGTTGTTTACAGAAGTGAACTCATAGTGCTTTTTTATTTCTTGATTTCCTTTCTTGTTTTGAAACCCAACAGCTTCTGTGGTGTCACTGATTACCAGTATGGTAGCAGTCAAGTTAAGATTGGATGTTATGTCAACATAATTCAATTTAATTAATTTTTAAAGCATCAGACTGCTTACTGGAAAATAATTGAAAGGAGGTAGAAGAGTATAAATTCCTTTGAGAAGTGTTTTTGTTACTTACCAAACTTACTTGCTCACATATTCTTACAGCAGGGTTTCTTTGGAGTGTTTTTTTTCCTGCTATAGAACTATTTTTAGAAAAGCAGAATAAAACACTGAAATATCTTAAAAAAATTATATGAATTAAATATATACAGAATGTGATTTCTCTGGCCTAAAGTATTTAGTTGTATAAATGGCTTTTTTGTGTGCACAAGATACGCTTTTCTGTGTGTTTCTATGCACCCAATGGATGCTTTTTGTATGTATGCATCACTTGATACCCACCTAGTTGAATACATCCCTCAGCCAGGAGTGTAATTCACTGTGGACTTAGTAAATCTCATGATTTTGAGATCATGACGTGGAACTGTAAGAATGAACTAGTTAAGTACTTGTTACTCCTGATGTAGGGCTGAAGGACTATATGTATATTTAACAGACTACAAGTTGTAAACACTTGCTTTCTTTTTTAAAACTGGATAAAGCATGGGTGTATTAAATCATGTATTGCAGCTATGTATGTTTCATTAAGGTTCATGTTTTCTTGTGGTTGTGTGTTAGGTGCATGCCCAGCTAGGTTGCTGTTTTTGATCACTAATCCAGTGTAAGACAGTCAAGTTGAATCTTACTCCTTTAGAAAAGTGCAGTTTAGTTCTGAATAGTATTGCTGATCATTTCCTTATTATAGATAAGATGTCAAATTATGCCCTAGAATATAAAAAAAATCAAGTGAAATTTGGAAGTTATATTTTATTTGCTAAAGGTCAGATTTTGTGGTTCTCATGTACTACATGTGGTTGCTTAGGCTTGCATGCAAATGAATATTAGACAGCAACACTCACCACTATTGAAATGTTAGCAAAGTAATGATGTATTTAGGATCTGTGGCATAACAGTAGAGTTCTTTTCAGCTGCACAAGTGGCCAGAATCAGCTCATGTAATAAATGGATATGGGAAACATTGTGTGGAATGTCTTGGTGACATGCTTGAGTCGCCATCAAGACCTGGCTAATTCCTAGGGATGGTTAGTCACCATTATAGAAAGTGGGAACAACTGTCTTCTTTTGCTTTGAAACTAGACAGCAGTCCTGCATTATGAATAGAGGAGGAAAGCTGAATCTAGTGCTTGGTAGAGGATATATTCTTATTTTTCATCTTAATATAATCTGGTTTATACTTTTACCACAATGACCTTTATGAGTATATTCAGTGGCATGAATCTTGATTGTGACTGATTAATTTAGTAGGCTGGCTGAGTGCAATTAATTCCATTAAAAACACATTATTTCAGTAATGTAGAGGTGTGCATGGAAGAGGTGAATGAGAGTGAAGAGATGTCTTTGAAGCTGTACTAAAATAATGAGGCTAGAGTACATCAGTGCTGGCCTGAAGGGGTAGGTCAGTGGTTGTCGGTGCCATTAGGCAACTCTCTAATCTTTTTCCTAGTAGATTTTGTATGCCTGTATTTTAACTGGAGTACTATAGAGGCAAATATAAAGTTGGGTTAATCTCATAAATTTGGCAAATTGCATACATTTTTGCTATCTTGCCTGCTTTTGTCACATTGATAGCTTGAAGAACCACTGAAAATTACGCTAGCTCCCATGTCGGCTTCCATGAAGGTGATTCTCACTTGCAGCCAAGCAAGAGGCTCTTATGAACAAAATTTAATCACTTAACTAGAAAATAACATTAGAATCCAGTCTCCAATGTGGATGCCTACTACATTGATCAGCAGTGACAGTCAACTAATATATTTATTCACAGCAATACTATATCATTTAGTACACTTTGACTGTGATGTGATATATTTGTTTTCTTCCTTCACTTTAAGTGTCTGGGTACTTGGACTCCTCATAGTCCGTTTCAAACCATAGCTTAGCGTGTAGAGGGTATGTCTAAAGTTTTATGTTCCGTTGTCTCCATGAATAGCGCAAGGACAAATTTCTCCTTAAGCTCTGGCAATAGTTATGCTAGTCCTGATTTTCTGGCGTTACGCAGGTGGCCTGACTTAGTATCATTCGATTTATTACAACAGAATTCCCATACCTGCTTCTATTGTCCATTCTTCTATGTGTTCTTATGTTTCACTTGCTGTGTTTTTTGGGGGGAAAGTGTGGTGCTATAGTTTCTGTTTGGTCTTTTGTCACTGGTTTCTTTTTGTGGTTCCTTGACTGATG